AACAGGCTAGTAACATGCTAATCATGCTAGAATCATGCTATCAACATGATAGTAACTTGCTAATCATGTTAACAACGTGCTAGTAACGTGCTAATAATGCTAACAACATGCTAGTAACATGCTAATCATGCTAGAAACGTGGTAGTAACTTGTTAATCATGCGAACAAACTACTAACACCATGCTAGTAACGTGCTAATAATGCTAGAAAAATGCTAGCAACTTGCTAAACATGCAAGAAACATGCTTGTCACTTGCTAATCATGCTAACATGCTAAAAACATGCTAAACATGATATAAACAGGCTAGTAACATGCTAATCATGCTAGAAACATGCTAACAACATGCTAGTAACATGCTAATCGTGTTAGAATCATGCTAACCATGCTAGTAACATGTTAATCATGGTAACAACATGCTAATAACACGCTAGTCATGCTAGAATCATGTTAGCAAACATGTTAACCATGCTAGTAACAGGCTAATCATGCTAGAATCATGCTATTAACTTGTTAACCATGCTAGTAACATGCTAGTAACTTGTTAACCATGCTAGTAACTTGCTAGTCATGCTAGCAACATGCTAGTAACATGCTAATCTTGCTACAAACATGCTAGCAACAGGCTAGACATCAGCATAAAAAAAGTTACTAAACCTGTTATACTGTATTATGACAGCACTTTTTTAAACAAAATTTCAATACCGTGATAATACCGTATACCGTGATAAAAGCATTAGCAATTAATCGCAACATGAAAATTTTATACCGGCATATCCCTAATACAAAGACATTTCAACTAAAGAGGTTAAGCAGCCAAAACATTTCCAAACTCAAAAATGTATAGCTTTGTAAGTTCATTTCTATCTATCTATCTATCTTATATTGCCTTCAAAACATTAAAACTTTAAACTGTAGAACTACTTAAAGTTATTACAATGTTTTCAATCTTTCTGGTCTGGCTTTTTCAAGCCAACTTTAAAGTTTGACATCAAACTTTACTCATCTAGTTCATTCTGTGCTTGTGCTTTCAGTCTAATCTAGTAGTACATATTACATAATAGTACATTACAGTAATCTAACAGCACTAACAGACCAGTGTTAATATTAATAAATAAAACTATTGAAATTGTTTTCAGCAATTGAAATCAAAGCATAAATAATAGATGAAAAGCTTACAGATATACAAATGTTGCCTTTGCAACTAACTGAAATAAAATGTTTTAGTACTAAAATTACTAAAACTATAAAAATACATTAAAGCAAAATAGAAGTATACAAAAACAAGAATAAAAATGAGAAAAACACAAAAGTCTTAACTTAAAACATGAAATTAACATGAAAACTGATTATATAAAAATAAAAGCTAATTCTAAATATTAATGAATATTATATTATATAAACAAGATAAAAACGGCACTGGTCCAGAAATGGTAATACCATGGTATTTTCCTTCATTTATGGACGAGTGTCTCTTCTGTGTCATTTAGGACACAATGCTCCTGAACTCACTGCTGGACGACCCATACCTCGGCCTGCAGATACGCCAGAACCAACAGGTTACACACACACACACACAGACACTCACACACACTCACACACACTCACTCACACACACTCACTCACACACACACACTCACACACACACACTCACTCACACACACACACACACACACACACACAAGTTAACCATCTCTGCTCCTGTGGTGTGTAGTTGAGTGTGGACTCTCAGCTGGAGGCTGTGAATCATGACGGTGGTTCTGCTGTGGTTCTGAAGGCTCAGAGCGGCTCGTATCAGGGTCAGCCGGCGCCGATGGAGCTGCTGGACTCCTCGGAACAACAGATGATCAACCAGAACCAGAGCCAGAGCTACACAGACGGGCGGCACCCTGTGCCCAACATCATCCTGACCGGTGAGGGACTGAACTCGAGTGTGTGAGTGAGTGTGTGAGTGAGTGTGTGTGTGTGAGTGAGAGAA